ATTAAATAATTGAATAGCGATAGATGTCGAGCAGGATTCCATGCTTTTTATAGTTCTATTTATTTATTTATTTATTTATTTATTTATTTATTTATTCAAATAAGGGTTTCATTTCATGGTGTCATTTTGTCAGAGAAACAAAAGATAATGTCTTTGACTACAATTTATTGCGGTTCCTTCATTAATGTATTATTAGACGAGATAATGGTTTATTTTTCTTTTGATGCGGCAACAACCTCATGATAAATAGTTGTTTTCATGTATCAATTTCACGTGAGGAGGCAAATCAGAGAATAATTTTGAGGTTTTACTACTTCCATTTACATATTAACATGTTTAATGCTTTAGCAATGCGCTTTGTATCAAATGTTTATGCAGTTGGTTTTTATACTAATGGTAGATTATTCAATTAAATTTGCAGACCAAAGAAAGAGTTTATTTGCCGGTTTTGCCAGCGTCATTTTACGAAGTCCTACAATCTTTTGATCCATGAACGCACGCACACAGACGAACGTCCTTATCCTTGTGACATCTGCGGCAAAGCGTTCAGAAGACAAGATCATCTTAGAGATCATAGGTAAGCTTAATTTCCACCTCTCCCTCTCCCTCTCTCTCTCAGGCGTGCACAACTTCTCTTTCTCTCTCTCTAACACACACAGTGAACTTCAAATTCGTTTTCTTCACAAAATTGATTCAATTTTCAATATGTTAATTTTTCCAGATACATCCACTCCAAAGAGAAGCCGTTCAAATGCAGCGAATGCGGCAAGGGCTTCTGTCAGTCGAGGACTTTAGCAGTTCATAAAACACTTCACATGCAGGTAAGGTAAGGGTTTAGAATGCCAACATGCATTAGTTTTAGACTGATAAGATAATTAACGTTCATAGTATAGAGATCCAGTCTTTTCTTTGCTTATTTTTGCTTATTATGTTTATCGTTTTTTTTGTCAGATATTTGGTTGTTTTTTATTTTTACTTTTTTAATGTCACATTTTCTTTTTAAACATTTAGTGATCTTTAAAGATTTTTCATTTGGAACGATGAAACTTTTATCATTAGTTTCACCGTTGTACCTGTCTTTAAAGGGATTATTGAAACATTCCCCTCTGTCTTAACATTCTCACTTCTGCTGAAAAATATTGCTGAATCACCAAATTCCAATCACTACAATATAAACAAATATTGTTACCTAGTTGCATAAACTGTCAAAACATTGGTATATTAATGCTAAAGTGAATTGTTTTATATATGTTTATATGTGTTAAAGTATTATAATTCATATTATATATTTATATAACATATTTTATATACATTTACAATTATTAAATTATTTTTATTTTTGATTTTTCAAACAGGAATCTCCTCACAAGTGCGCCACCTGTGGCAAGACGTTCAACCAGCGTTCCAATCTGAAGACACACCTCCTTACTCACACCGACTTCAAACCCTACAACTGCGGAGATTGTGGGAAGGTGTTCCGCAGAAATTGCGATCTCAGACGACACACGCTGACGCACTCGCCGCTCCTGAATCCCGACGGCGCGCTGGCCGATGTCTCCATGGCAACCAGTGATAGTGAACTTCCGGATCAAAGTTATGTCGAAGTTTAAATAATAGTTGTTTGAGTGAAATGACATTTTTTTGTTCTTTTATGGAACTTCGTTAGCAAAATCTACTTTTATGTTCATTTATGGAACTTCGTTAGCAAAATCTACTGACTTACGGAGTGAAAATACATACAATTCCATTCACCATTTGAATGAAAAGAAGATCACTAAAACAACACTCGAAAAATAATTTTCAAGGTCTCGTGGCGACAAAGCTATGATTTTATTATTATCACTATAGATTTGTAAATATATATGGATATTTATTTTCTTGTATATACGTCACTTTTGCCGTGCAATTCGGTAAGAAAACAGCATGGAAAATGATCTGAATTCGCAAACCACATAGTTATATTATCTGTATAGAAACTACTTTATTTTTAAGTTTTTGCTGATATTTTAGAAAATGTCAATATTAATTTGTTAATCATTTTGCTGCATGCCAATTAGAAAAGAAGAAACCGAAATTCTCAGGGCTAACGACAATTATACCAATGATTACTTGATGATTGAATGGTGCTTTAAGTAATTATGATAATGGAAATTAATTTTAAATTTAGTTTTTAATTTAACTTGAAGCTTTAATGCTCTATGCTAATTGGTGCCATAAATTTCAATGTACTAATTTGTTTGTAGTGATTTGATGAATGTCTGTCTATATGTTTGCTGCAATATGTCATGTGCTTACGTGTTTCTGCCTTTAAGACTGTCTGTCTGTCTGTCTGTTTGTCTGAATGTCTGTTTTTCTGTATGTATGTTTGCCGCAATATGTCGTAGTTTCATGTATGTCTTTGTCTCTTTGTCTGTCTGTCTGACTGTCTGTCTGTTTTTTCGCAATATGTCATGTGCTTGTCTGTTTGTTTGTCCACTTGTCTGTTTATCTGTTTACTTGTCTTATTGTTTGTTGACTTCCCACTGCACCTGTCTGCCTTTGTTAATTAATTTATATAGTAGTGCGTGTATTTGGCCAGGTTTATTTGTACAGAGTATTTACACGCCTGGCTCAACTGTTTCAGCATATCAGATTGATATGGATTAATTATTATTATTATTATTATTATTATTATTATTATTATTATTATCAGTAAACAACATTGTAAATATATTATCAGGTCAGGTTATCAGTATTTAATGGTTTCACCAGTTGAGGAGCGCTATGCGTTACTTTACAATTATAATGTGGATATTAAAGAGTTATCGGTGATCAATTTTGACAGTTTATCACTATAGATCACAACTAGCAATTTGAAATGAGTGAATAAATCGTGCCATATTATATTTAATTTTTATCCATACAGCTGATGTATTGGTATAGCTTTCAAAACGTGTGTATAAAATTTATTGCAGAATTGATAGCATGTATATAGTTTATCTTAGGTTATCAAAGTTCCATTGGAATTTTAGCAAAAAGCATAGTCGGCTTTCATTAGCGTTTGGTACTGCTGGTGTCAGTTTCACGAAAGAAACATTGGCTTACCTTTTAGACCAAACTGGTGGTCAATTCCAAAAACAGAATGAATTTGTACTTGTTCGCAAAGATAGAGCAAAAGGTGATGTAATACATTTCACTCATGTAGTGAATCAGGCCAATTTAATCAATAGTTGAACAACAACTTATTCAATTATCTAGTTAAAAATAGTCTTAAATTTTCGGCTGTATAATTCAGGCCAATTTTCGGTTTGTAGGCCTTTTATGAAAAAAAGGATCTGCAGTGTTTTGAGTTTGAGGAGGTTAATGACCAAAGGGGCGTTGACCTTGGTAGGGATCACCTTAAGTGACATTGTAAATGGTTTCTGTATGAAAGATTTGAGCATATAGGCTTTTGCGTGTTGAACACTTTTCTTTATATATAATTACATTGTGAATACTCATGATTGTGTTATTAAAATAAATTATTTGAATATAAATGAATGGATTCATGTGTTTATTTTTGTTGAATGTATTAAGACAACGTTGAAGATGTTTTAACATCTTAAAAGATGAATTAGCCACGTTTTGCAGTAGCAAGTGATGTATAATGAAACTAAACTTTTTGAAATAATTTCATTTTTTCTTAATCATCGAAAATTGAAAATTAATGCAAATTAATCGGATGTAATATATTCGATATTAGAACAATATATATATTGGACAATCCGAACCTGATAGAGAGATCAAATAAGATTCGTGGGGATTATATATATATATATATATATATATATATATATATATATATATATATATATATATATATATATATATAACACGGATCTGTGCTCAAGTTCGAAAGATAAATGAATTAAATAAAACAATACGTAGATGATAATTAAATGAACAAAGATGCGAGCAAGAGCATGTGTGTATTCTAAAACTAATACTCGTAATTATGATGTAGAGTGTATACAAATAAATGCATAAGATTAAATGCAGGGAATCACAATAGACGCTCTACTCAAAATAAAATGTGAAGAAAAAAAAGCTGCAATTATCACAGAATAAATTCCTTGAAAAATCTGAGGACCTCCAACACGTGAGTCATATCAAAGAAACTACAAAAGGCTACACGAAAACAAAAGAAATCTAGCTGAATTGGGCTTAGTCGGCCGCCTACGTTCCGTCTCTATCCCACCGTTGTCATGCAGGAGTGTTTATTCATGTCCTTTCTCCCTTCACCCGCCAATCTTCAGTGTCATCAGCGGCGTTCTGAACGCTTCCATGCCTCACAAACATGAATATTAAAGCAGAGTTAAAAGCACAGCTCCTCTCGTCTGTTTTGTACCTGTCAGCCTGAACTGTTCTCCATGTCAAATCCATCCCCAAGTGTCGCTTCAACAAAAACGAAATCACCTGCCCGTCTTTGATCCACCGCCTCTTGATGATGTTGACTTTCCTCGCATAATCGGTGCTAATTGTTGACACTTTTCATTAAGCTGCTACTTGGCGGTGCAGTGAAAGGGAACGCGTTGTTTGAACTGGAGCGTATTAACTTCGCTCTCTTTTGATGGTTCTTGTATTTAGGTGGCACTTTAAGTTAGCGCACTCGTCACAAGAGGCTTAGTACCACCGAGAGACGACTACCAATTTGGGTGTATCGCCTGACCCGTAGTCGGCTACCTGAGAAATAGACGTCGGTACTTCACCATTACTCCATACAAGACGGCCGCTTATTAAATATGCCTCCCACCTGAAGGCACAAAAAGCGTGGGTCGTGATTTTGTGTTCGCTGAATTAATTTAGCACTTGGTTGATCAATTTATAAAGTGATCGAATACACCTTTGATGTTAGATGAATAAAGTTTTTAGATAAACGACGAGAGTGATTGCAACATTGCACTTTGAAAATGTAAAAAAAGAAAACAAACATTGCAGGTGAAACAGTATAATAAAACATTGAAATAAATTAAAAAAGGGAAATACACATGAAAAACGAGATATCCACAAAACTGATAAGCAAAAATATAAAGAAGTTAAGAACCACTGAAACAAATAAATGCGATCACCTGAGCTATAACAAAGATGAAAAATAAATAAATTAGTCAGACAAAGCGACATTCGTGACCGAGTATCCAGTTTCTTCCTGGTCAGGACAAACAATTACCCACGTGGAAACACGACATCGTTCTTTCCATAGCTGGGATACACGGTGACTAT